GCTGTTATCATGGTGAGGGCTGAGGGATAGTTGGGTGGCAACCCCAGGCATGGGGAGAGGGCCCACCTTTGACTGCTCTGACCTAGGCTCTGCCTCTCAGTTTTCAGTGAACTTGTTTCGGACGCTACCACCATCATCCAACCCCACAGGGGCTGAATTTGATCCTGAAGAGGATGAGCCCACCCTGGAGGCTGCCTGGCCCCATCTCCAGGTAAGTAGGCTTAAGGAGAAAGGGGGCGGCTGTGGTTCAGTTGCCTCTGGTCTCAGATACTGGGGCAGTGTGGAGAGTTCTTTGCTGGTCCTTGAAGGTACTCACAGAGCTCTCAATTCCCTCCCTTCACAGCTCGTCTATGAGTTTTTCTTACGTTTCCTAGAGTCTCCCGATTTTCAGCCAAATGTGGCCAAGAAATACATCGACCAGAAGTTTGTCCTTGCTGTGAGTTCCCAGAATTATTGTTAGTTTCTTATTTTGTTTCTCTTGAACTCCGTGGATGGAGCCTTGTACCTTCACCCCAACGTCTCTAGTTGTTCTTGTCCCTTTATACTAAACATGTCGAATGTTCACTATTCCATGAACAAGGAACTATGGAGAGGGTTAAGAAAAATTGAATCCCTGCTTGAAAGGACCTTCCCATGTAATGGTAAAGACTGACAAATAACAGCTCACATTAAAATGCACACATAAAGACACTATGCCCAGATAGCACCCCTGGGTAAAGGTCACATTGAGATCCCATTTGACTTCTCAGAGGTGCTTAGTCCAGGTCCCCATTCTGGGGCTTACTTCCTTGGCATTCACTGCTTGGGGGCCTCTCTGGTTGATTCTGACTTTACCACACTCATTTTCCCTGATTCTTCCCAGCTCCTGGACCTGTTTGACAGTGAGGACCCCCGGGAGAGGGACTTTCTCAAGACCATCCTGCATCGCATCTATGGCAAGTTCCTGGGGCTTCGAGCTTATATCCGCAGGCAGATCAACCACATTTTCTACAGGTAAAGCTAGGAGTATAGTGACATAGAAAACTCTGGGGCCATTGAAGGGGAGATTGATGGGACAGCTGCAGCCTTCATAGAGATACAGTAGAGCATGGGAAAGAACCAGAGCAGGTAGAGGTGCATTGTGGGTATGGCAGAGATGATTGTTGGCTGAGACCAAACCTGTGCCTCCTTTCCATATAGGTTTATTTATGAGACAGAGCATCACAATGGAATTGCTGAGCTGCTTGAAATTCTGGGAAGGTGAATGAGGAGCCCTGACACTTACATGGGTGAACTCAAGGGCAGGGTGAGGGGAGAAGGTGGTACATTGCATTTAGACCACTCTTCCCAGATTGACAGTAACCTTTTTTTTTTCCCCGCTCAGCATCATTAATGGCTTTGCCCTGCCTCTCAAGGAGGAGCACAAGATGTTTCTCATTCGAGTCCTGCTTCCCCTCCACAAGGTCAAGTCTCTGAGTGTCTACCACCCTCAGGTGAGCTGCCTTTCTCCCTTGGCATTGCCATACGTGGATCACCCTGTTAGCTAGGTCTTGTATAGGAGCTCTTAAGCTGGAGGGAAAGGGAATTTCTACTGAGAGGAGGAATTTTAGAGGAAGGTCAGGTGACTCTCAGCTACCCTTTAAGGAATGAGTTATTAAAAAGTGCGTCTCCTCACCCTGCCTCTACTTTGAGCTTTGTCTTTGGTTATCCTCCAGTTGGCCTACTGTGTGGTGCAGTTCTTGGAGAAGGAGAGCAGCTTGACTGAACCGGTGAGTGATCTGCAACCTTGGCTAGGTCCTTCATGGCCACACCTCCTACCCTTAACCCCAACCCTCTCCATGCTCAGGGATGAGGGAGCCAGAAGTTCAACATCAGTCAACACCACTGACTGACTCCCACGTAGAAAGTTTTTTCCCTCTTCCAGGGGCTTCTAGTTTGCTACAGACATGGCTCTTGTCCCAGGGGCTTTCAGGTCTGTTGATAGAGATGGGGACCTGTACATACAGAGGAAATAGACTAAAAATACAGAAGTGGGAGGAGCTTGAACATTATGATGGAGAATGAGGGATGGGAGAGGCTTGAAGGGCCTGGGACAAGGGAATAAGGCAACAAGTAAGCAGAAATTTGCTTTGTTCTCACCTCTTTCCCCATAGGTGATTGTGGGGCTCCTAAAGTTCTGGCCCAAGACTCACAGCCCCAAGGAAGTGATGTTTCTGAATGAACTAGAGGAGATCCTAGATGTCATCGAACCCTCTGAGTTCAGTAAAGTGATGGAACCCCTCTTCCGCCAGCTCGCCAAGTGTGTTTCCAGCCCCCATTTCCAGGTGAGAGTTTGGAGCCCTGTATCCTGCTGCACACCCATTTTCTCTCAAGCCAGATGCTCAGCAGTGCCCACTGCTCTCTCCTCCCTCTCTAGGTTGCAGAGCGTGCCCTCTATTACTGGAACAATGAGTACATCATGAGCCTGATTAGTGACAATGCTGCATGCCTCCTACCCATCATGTTCCCGGCACTCTACAGGAACTCTAAGAGCCACTGGAACAAGTAGGGCCTGAGGCGGGGTAGGGGGCAAAGCCAGGGGCTTCTCGGGCTTGGAGCACTCCATGAACATTGATTGTTGAGGGTGTATAGGTGATCACTGGACTCTAGAGGAGAGGAGCTCAGAAGGCAGGGCATGACCACAAGCAGGTCTCCATTATGACACAGCTCATTCCCCTAAATGTAAGAGGGAGCTGGATGTGTGGCACCCTTTGAGGCAGGCCTGCACAACCTTGGGCCCGCCAAAGAATTTCCTGTGCATAAAAGGATGTTTTCCTCTACATTTTTTGAAGACTGCCCAAAATCCTTTGGCAGGCTGCAGGTTGTGCAGACCTGCTTTAAGGCCCAATTGTCCTTTCTCACACTATCTGTGGAATGAAGGGCTTTGGACCATGTGATCTGTAAAGTCCTTTTCCAGTCCTAAATGTGGCTTTATTGTAGAGGGAAGAAAGCTTTTAAAATGGGAAAATGGCAGTTATCTGACACAAAATCATAGATTTTGATCTGGAAGGGACCTCAGAGGTCGTTTCATCCGATTTCGCTCTGGATGAGTGTGTACCAGGGACATAAAATTGTTAAGTCATAGGAGTAGATGCCTATGACTTCAGTGCCTACTGTGTGCTAGGCACAGTGCCAGGAGCTTGTAGAGAAGTTGGGGTATAGCCCTGGGAGGGCCCAGGGTGAGTTCTGGATGTCAGTGTCTTGGCCTGCTCTCTTGGAGTACAGGACTATCCATGGGTTGATCTACAATGCCTTGAAGCTGTTCATGGAAATGAATCAGAAGCTGTTTGATGATTGCACGCAGCAGTACAAGGCTGAGAAGCAAAAGTGAGTGCCTGACTCCAGGATTTTGCCTGCTCTCCTTGTCCCCTTTTCCTCCACCTCTGCCTAGCAGCCCTGGCAACTGTTCTCTCCACAGGGGCCGATTCCGGCTCAAGGAACGAGAAGAGATGTGGCACAAGATTGAAGAACTCGCCCGGCTCAACCCCCAGGTAAGCCTCATCCCCAAACCTCATCCTTGTACAAAACCTCATCCTTTGAACAAAAGCCCAGGTATTTTTAGGGTCCCTTCTTGGGGCACAGGGCCTGACTTCTCTGCCTCTCCTCAATAGTACCCCATGTTCCGAGCACCTCCCCCACTGCCCCCTGTATATTCAATGGAGACAGAGACCCCCACGACTGAGGACATCCAGCTCCTGAAGAGGACGGTGGAGACAGAAGCAGTGCAGGTGAATAGAGGGACAGCAGCCGCCTGTGGGGAGGTGACGGCTGTGTGTGCAGAATCTATCTCCTGCCCAGGATCACCACTGGCAACCTCATGTTGCTTTTTCTCCCTAGATGCTGAAGGATATCAAAAAGGAAAAGGTGCTGCTCCGGAGGAAGTCAGAATTGCCCCAGGACGTATATACCATCAAAGCACTGGAGGCTCACAAGAGGGCTGAGGAGTTCTTGACGGCCAGCCAGGAGGCACTCTGACTTACCTCCTCTTCCTCACCCAGGGCCACTGCCCATTCGCCCCTGGGACACTGCTCTGGCCCTTCAGCCCCTGCCCCCCCAGCTGACCTGGGGGTAGGATGGGGTGAACACCTCCAGCTCCCTAAAAACAGAATACTTGGGTCAAAGACTCTCACTGTGTGGCCTGGCCTCCCTGTGACTAGTGTAGACATGCCCTGGAATTGCTCATTGCTCATAGCTGGGATGCCCTCTGCGCTGACTTTGTGACCTTCTCCAACCTCCTAGGGTGTTTGGGGCCAACTCTGAAAATCTCCTTAAATGCTCCTCACCCTCACCCTTTCCCATCTTCACTTGAGTTGTAGATCTCTGTCCTATATAATACTCCTTCTCTAAGGGACCTGTAGAGATTAGCAAAAAGCTGCACTCATCAAAGTTGCTTCCAGCCCCACAGAGGACCAGGGTGGACAATCTCCTGGTTCTGAGGGTTGGAGGCTGATGAGGCAGAGCAAGTGAAGAAAGGCCGGCCCTTAAGCACCAAACTTAAAGGGACACAGCATGCCCTATATATCTCCCAAGGGGGAAAGAAACGTGTATCGGAATCAGTGAGGCCCTCTGATGTACATTCCTTGTTACTTCTTGCCTGACCCAGATTGGACTAGGGGTGGGAAGAGAACCTACATAGACCAGGTCATAGCTCCACGTGGGGTATGAGGCCTCATAGGGACCAAAGGGTAGGAGGGGAGGAGAGTATAGGGAGATACCACCATCTATCAGTCCTTCTTTCTCTAAGCAGCAGTCCGGGGATCACGAACATTAAAAGGGACCACCCTAGGCCTGCTTGAATCCTTATCCTGCAAGGCCCCAGAACTGGGGTGAGAGAAAAGGGTAGTACCTTAAGGTTCTTCCCCAGATTAAGCTGTCCCAACATCTATTTATTTCTTTGTACCCAAGGTCAGACCCTCACCTGCCTCTCATAGGCACCACTGGGGGATTGGGGGTCCTGGGGCACAGATGGCGCCGCTCTTGGCTGTGTACATAGGGTGCTTTATTCTCTGCAAAGTGTTACATGCTAAGGTGGGTTGGGCTTGGGCAGATGTCCCCATATGTACAGAATTGAATAAAGTGGATCTCTGGAGAGAAGTCTGAGTTTGTCTGTGATATAGAAGGGCGTAAGAGGAACCAAATGATTTGGGACCAGGAATTTATCCAGTTGTGTATCAAGGTGGTACTAGGTCTGGTATTGGGACTGTTCTCAGTGGTAGTCACTTCCATGTAGAGGTTGCCTGTCGAGCCTGGAGAGTCTTCTGTACCACATCCTCCCACTGGGCATCCGAAATCTCCTGAGCCCAAGCAGGGACTCCTGGGGCAGGAAGACTTACTCCAGCCATTGTCCGTTTCACCAACTCCACATGTTCTGAAACCATATCCAAATTTCAGTTACAGGACAGAGATGGAACCAGCCTATCACTACCTGCTTCCTGGGAGGGGTGGGGCAGTCCCAAGGTCTTATACTAATTAAGTTCCCCAAAATCAAACCACCCTACAAAACAGCTGACTCCTTTTGGTTTCGGGGCTCATTCCTGTTAGTTATAGTTTCTGACCACAGAGTTCTACTTCTAATTTTGGAACAATTTAGAAATCTTCCATTACCTGGGTCCATGGGTATGGAACTTCTGCTGCTCAGTGCTACAGCTCCCTCCTCTTCCTCATCTTCACTCTCCATAGGAGGGTCAGGCAGGTGCAGCCCCAGGGCCTAGAAAGCAGAAAGAATGGTATTGTAAGCGACCCTTACCTGGCCCCCAGCTGCACATCCCTCCCCACTCAACCAGGAACTACTATAAACATCACACCTGGATACGTTCCTGAATGTCAGTGACAGCATCTTCAATACCTTCCACTGGTGCCAGCTCTACTTCTTCTTGCTCAGGGTCCTGGTTCAGAGGCTGGTAGGAATAGTCTGTTGGGCCTGACCCCAAGTCTTCAGGCTCTTCCTCAGGTTCTTCACTGCTCCAGTCACCTGTGCCATCTGTGGGGCCCTGATGCTGCCCCAGATCCTCATTCTGGTTTGGGAAGATCCGCTCAGGACCCATCTTATCTTCCCCCAGAACCACTGCTGCCATGCAGGCCCGGGCTGGGGTGTCATGGGGGCAGGGAGACAGAGGTTTGGACCAGTTAGGCCCACTTCTAGTTCCTCCCTCAGATCCTAAACAACTATGCACCAACCTCCCCCCACCTCCCATATATTTAAAAGCCTCCAAACTTCATTGTCAGCACTGCCTTTTTCTCACTTCCTTTGAGGCTCTCTGACACTCCCCACCCTCCTGAAATGACTTCTAACCAGGTTCCCCTGGTCCTCCCGTCCAAACAGCTCCACCTGCCAAAGCTGTCTCACAACAAAAGCAGCCCTGGTCCCATCATAGGAGGTTTTCACCCTCTCTAAGGATTTTCCTTCTCTTCACCCCTCTCCCCGGAGTCTCCTCATCCGCCGCCCCCTCCCCCCAGCTCCCTTTCTCTGCTCTCTCCCTCACAGGTTCTCCTTACCCCCTCCAAGGCCTCCTCTGCCCCTCCCGTATCAGGGTCTCACCCCCTTAGGCTGGCCCCCCTCTCCCCATCCAAGCCCACCCATATGGTTTTCTCCCCCCCTCCAAGGGCTCCCTCCTCTGGTTCCTCCCCCATGTGGTTTCTCCCCACTCCAGGGGCTACCTCCTCTGGGTCCCCTCATATGGTTTCCTCCTCCCTCCAGGGGCTCCCTCTGACTCCCCCATGAGGGCTCCTCACCCCGCTCCAGGAGCTCCCCTCTCCTGGGTTCCACATACGGGATCTCCTCACCCTACTCCTCTGGCCCCCACCTGCAGAATCCCGCCCCCCCAATCCCTCGGGTTCCCCCAATTGTGAAAGAACCTGACCTGCTCCGAGCCCGCGGCGGAACCCACACTCCAACTTCCGGGGACGGAATTGTGGGATCGAATTACACGTTCCTCCAGTCCCACCTATTTCTGGCTTCCACTCCCAATTGCTCTAATGATTGACGTGGCCTGGAGGACCGACCAGCTTTCGGTCCAGATAATACAGGACTACATTACCCAGATGTCCCTGGGTCATCTTCGTGGGTGTAGCCTCAAGAAACACTGTTTCCTTCCCTCCCGCCTACTCTCACACCACGGACTACATCTCCCGTGAGGCTTCGGGAACTTTGCTTGGCATTGCGCACGCGCCACGCACCGCCTGACTGGAACTACAGGCTCACTTGTGTTTGTCTTATTGGGACCGGCCTGTCGGTTAGAGCGGAACCGGATTCAGAGTGCTGGAAGCGCGCGGACCTGCAGGCCCCGCCCCGGTCTGGCCTGGCAGGTAGCAGGGAGCGGGGCTTGATGGGAGGAGGGTAGGACAGAATTGGGAGGGACCGAGGCGGTGCAGGTGGGGGAGGGGCTTTGGGTTAGGGGGATAGGGTGGAGGAGGGGCAGGGAGGGGTCACCGGGGTGGGGAGGGATGGGGCACTAGGATCGGGGGAGGAGAGATTGGATTGGTTTGGAAGGGGTGACTGTGAGACTAGAAAAGGCCTGGAGGGCTCTTGGGAGGAGGAGGGGAGGGAGGGGGGAGACTGGGAGGCTCCCTGGAAGGAGGGGAGGACAGGGCTGTGTGAAAGGAGGGAGACCCAGAGGATTGTCGTAGGAGGGTCTGGGTAAGTGCGCGAGGGATGTAGAGAGAGATCCAGGAGGTGGTGGGAGAGGCGTCCCCCGGGCTTGGAAGCCTCTGCCTCCGAGAGCTTAGCTTGTCCTTGTGCAAAACAACCTGTGCTTCCCTTTTCCTCTGGTGATCGACATGAGTTGGGTTTTTTTAAAGTCCTTTTCCTTGGGGTCGTGAAGGGGAGGGAGTAATAATTATGAATAAGGATAATTTCTTTATGGGTCCAATAGCTTCTTCGTATTGCAGAGATAGGGTGTATATACATTTGGTGGAGGGATGTTGATGCTATTTTGGGTTGTAGTGTGTTAAGACCTGGAAGAAATCTGACCTGCGGCAAGCTGGGGAAGCATCGTTTCTCCCCCAGGCTTATGTGTGCCCAAGCCCTGGAGCAAGCTTGTCCCTTCCATTAGGTCTCCTTGGGCAAGAAAGGGATGATGTGCTTGAACCCAGCTCGCTCTCTTTGGAGATTGCAGTGCCACCTGGTGGGTGACCTTTCTTTCTGTCACTGGATTCTGGGCAGTTCCTAGTGCCTTGGATGTTTCCGGGGGTGGTAGGTGGGGAGATTTTTTTTTTTTTGGTCCTAATCTCTGATTTTTATCAGTGATGGAAACTCAGAATAACTGACTCTCAGAATTGGAAAGAACCTCGGAAGCCATCTAATTTAATGTGTACTTGAACAAGAATTCTCTCTACAACATACCTAACAAATGAAATTGCCAGAATGACAGATCTTTTCACTGATGCATATACAAATTTGTCTGCAGTTTATATAATCTGAAATTTGCTTAGGACATTGAAGGGTTAAGTGATTTGCCCATAATTCCCTCAGATTATACAATGTGATCATAGATTTAGAGGAGGCAGGGACCTTAGAGGTCTTATAGACTCTCTCCTCCATTTTTCAGATGAGGAAACTGAGTGACTTGCTGTAGGTCAAACAGTAGTAAATAGCAGAGATGGGATGTAATCAAATTTAACTTAATAAAATGGGATTTAATTTTCTTAAGAGTCAGTCCATACTATGATTCCTCCAGTAGTACCATTTTAAGACTTTATATATATATGTATATATATATATATATATATGAGAGGGAAGACTTAAATCCAGGTCCTCCAGACTCAAAGGCATATTATATCAGTTGCTTCCTCATACCAATATGAATCAAGATGAATTACCTACTTCCTTTGTTTGGTAAGATGTCTGAAGGACTTAAGTGGCCATGCCCAGGTCTAATTCTTAACCACCCTAAGGCTAACTTTGCTTTTCCTATTTACCAGACTCCATGTAGGGGCCCAGTTGGGGGAGGGGTGACAGCAGTTGTTTTCTGCCGCTCAGACAACATGGCAAAAGCCTGTCCCCACCCCCACCCTGACAAGCTTGAGTTCCTGGTCCTGGCCAGGTTCCAGGTACATCTGTCAGGGGAACTCCTTGTGCCCATGGGGAGTCCCAGGTTGCTCTAATTACAGAACCTGGTGGTAGCTGGTTGTCTCTGCCAAGCTGCCCTTAGGTAAACTGAAGTTTCCTGGGCACATTGTGTCCTCTCTGAGGTGCAACCAGGACAAGGACCCTGGAGAAGGAGGTGCCCTACCCATTCCAAGGTCCTGAAGCTTTTTTTCCTGGAAGTACCCATGCCAGACTGTAGTGGGTTGTCTAGGCTGGCTATGTTATTAATAGCCCTGGGTATTTTAGTATCCCTGTCCCCACCTTAGAGAGTGCCCAGGATTCTTAAGAACTTTTGGCATTAAGAAGCTCAGCAACAGAGGCAATAGGACTTGTTTCTTATCTGTGCAGTTCCTAGCTGAGGAGGACACTGAATCATTCTAGGAGCTTTTCCCCATCTGGGGACAGTGTATGGGATCCCTGGATCCCTGGAGTCCCCAGATGTCCTGAGCCTTTGGTCAGTGTATTCTATGCCAATGAAGAATTAGGTCAGAGTTGCCCCAGGTTGTTGGGGAATGGGGTTAGGATCAACTCTGACCTCTGTAGCTCCCCTGAGGGGGAGGTAGTCACCTGGACTATAACTGATCCTTCCAAAGAAGTATGGTGTGGGAGGGGTGCTAGAATGATAATTGCAAGCCAGAGGTAGTCAAAGCAGTGTCACTCTGAGTTGAACATAGCACTGGGGACAGAGGTTTTGTCTAACGTGCTTTTACCTGTGTTTGCACAGGTAGCAGGGACACTGGGACAGGCTGGCCGTGCTGTGCGGGCATGTGTCTGTAGCCACATCGAAGGGGAATGTTACGGTGGACAGTGCACCTGGAGGGCGGGCCCCGCAGGGTGAATCATGCGGCAGTGTCTGTGGGGCACCGGGTGTATTCATTTGGAGGATACTGCTCTGGAGAAGACTATGAGACATTACGTCAAATTGATGTACATGTCTTCAATGCAGGTGAGTTAGGATTACACTGGGTGCTTGGGGAAAGGTAGGAACAGGAAGATGGAAAAGGCAGAGGGTTAGGGTATGACAGACACTGACTAGGAGGAAGGGGAAGAATGGTGTTCTAATAGCTGGGGAAGATGGGTGAGGGCAGGAGGGTTGCTAGTCTGAACAGGGCTATGCCTGCAGTGTCTCTGCGTTGGACGAAGCTGCCCCCAATGCGGTCTGGTGGACAGGCTGGGGAAGTGCCCTACATGCGTTATGGACATTCAGCCGTCCTCATTGATGACACTGTCTACCTGTGGGGTGGACGAAATGACACAGAAGGAGCCTGCAATGTGCTCTATGGCTTTGATATCAGTGAGTATTGACTTAGATGCTGAACTTTTACAAATTGTGTACACATCTTGAAAGGAGAGGGGGAGGACGACCTGGGTAGAATATTGGGGGCAGGTTCAGGAAGCACAGCCCTCAGGGGGCAAGGCAGTAGTGAAAAACATTGACCATTTAGACCCTGACATTCCCTGCTCTTTTCTTTAGATACTCACAAGTGGTTCACACCCAAGGTATCTGGAACAGTGCCTGGGGCCCGAGATGGACATTCAGCCTGTGTCCTGGGCAAGAACATGTATGTCTTCGGGGGCTATGAGCAGCTGGTAAGTCCATGAGGGAAAATAGAGGAGGTTGAAGAATATGTGGAGAAGGAAATGGAATTAGTGGGAGTTTTTTACTTGATTGTTGGACTTTGATGAGAATAGGGAATAACTTTTTTTCCTCTCATTTCCATTCTTCCTTCTTCTCTGCTTTCGCTCTCTCCCTGAATTTCCTTTCTTTGGTTTAGGCTGACTGCTTTTCCAATGATATCCACAAGCTGGATACCAGCAGCATGACATGGACCCTCATTTCTGCAAAGGTCTGTACCTTTCTTTTCGCTGTGTAGATCTTTCTTTTCCATTTCTTGCTGAATGAATCATACAACAAAAGAGACCAGCTGTATTCCTTAAAGCTCTTACCTTACCCCAAACTTTGCCAAATCCCTTTTCTTTTCTCCCTTTATCACCTATGCGTGGTCCCCACTTCCATCCCAGTGGAGGAGTTGAGAACCGTAATGGATGGGAGGATAGGAGTGACTGAGAAAGATAGCAGAATTGCTCATCTTATAAGGTTGGGGTGGGAGGGATGGTCACTTTTTCTTAACTATCCATTTCAGTTCTTTTACCTATTCTTCCCTCCCTTTTTCCCTCTTCCCAGGGCACTCCTGCACGTTGGAGGGACTTTCACTCAGCTACAATGTTGGGCAGCCGCATGTATGTTTTTGGGGGTCGAGCTGACCGATTTGGACCCTTTCACTCCAATAATGAGATCTATTGTAACCGAATACGTATCTTTGACACGAGGGCTGAGGCCTGGTTGGAGTGTCCACCTACCCCACTGTTGCCTGAGGGCCGAAGGAGCCACTCTGCCTGTGAGTATCTCCCCCCACCCCAAATTCCTTTTCTAAACCACTCTCTCCTAACATTCTTTTCCATTTCCAGTTGGGTACAATGGGGAGTTGTACATATTTGGTGGCTACAATGCAAGGCTGAATCGGCATTTTCATGACCTCTGGAAGTTCAACCCAGGTAAAGGGGTTGTAGGAAGTTCTAGAATGTTGGAGTGGGTGAATCCATAGTATAAGACTATAGGGATGTTCAGGGTCAAGCAGGGTGAGAAGAGTGGCTCCTAGGTATTTAGCAGTCATTGAGGGAGTAGCTGGAATAGGCAGGGGGTTGAATTTGGTGTTTGCCACAACTTCTCCTCAGTGTCCTTCTCTTGGAAGAAGATTGAGCCTAAGGGAAAGGGGCCATGCCCCCGCCGACGCCAGTGCTGTTGCATCGTGGGAGACAAGATTGTCCTCTTTGGGGGCACTAGGTCAGGATGAGGGGGTGTGGGGGAGGGACTCGGGATCAGGGAGGGATATGAGGCCATAAAGATTGCTTAGAAGGGTTTTGTGGGATGTTCAT